TTTTTTTGCGGTACGCGGGCCTCTCACTGTTGTGGCCTCTCCCGTTGCGGAGAACAGGCTCCGGACGCACAGGCTCAGCGGCCATGGCTCACAGGCCCAGCCGCTCCGCGGCATGTGGGATCTTCCTGGACCGGGGCACGAACCCGTGTCCCCTGCATCGGCAGGCGGACTCTCAACCACTGCGCCACCAGGGAAGCCCTATGGATACCTATTTTATTCAATGAATTGTAATGTGATACTACTATTACCACTATTATTATTTATTGTTTGGATGCTCAGATCATCCTAGAAGCCCTACAAGCTGGCTTTTGCGTCCCATTGACCTATTTCTTTTTTTAAAAAAAAATAAATTTATTTATTTTATTTTTGCTGCATTGGGTCATCGTTGCTGCACGTGGGGTTTCTCTAGTTGCAGCCAGCAGGGGCTACTCTTCATTGCGGTGCGCAGGCTTCTTATTGAGGTGGCTTCTCTTGTTGTGGAGCATGGGCTCTGGGCACACAGGCTTCAGTAGTTGTGGTGTACAGGCTCAGCAGTTGTGGCACACGGGCTTAGTTGCTCTGCGGCATGTGAGATCTTCCTGGACCAAGGCTCGAAGCCGTGTTCTCTTCATTGGCAGGTGGATTTTAGCGGCCATGGCTCACAGGCCCAGCCGCCCCGCGGCATGTGGGATCTTCCCGGACCGGGGCACGAACCCGTGTCCCCTGCATCAGCAGGCAGACTCTCCACCACTGCGCCACCAGGGAAGCCCGGCATGTGGATTTTTAACCACTGTGCCACCAGGGAAGCTCCCATTGACCTATTTCTATCATTGATCACTTCCTTACTTTCTGACACCATGCAGTTTCTGGGCTACTTTTGTACTTGCTCTGTCAGCCCTGGAACCAGTCATTTCTCCAAGGGACCTTTGGTATTTAGAAACCACGATCTGAGTGCTGTGCGTATTGCTATGGGGTGTTATTGTTTTCAGGCCTTCTTAGTATTCAGAGCTAGAAAAAAATATATGTTCTCATAATACGCATGCATATAGAATTGTTCTTATATCTATCATTGTGTGTATTTGGAACAAAACTCATGCATTCGTATTGATACTTCCAATTTTAATCCCATACTTAGGATTCTTTTTAGCCTTCCCATTTTCTGTGTTTGTAAATCTAATCTCATACAGAAACCTGGTTTCAGTTATTCTCAGTATATTTACCGATCTGTCCAATCAGTTAATTTATTCATTCAGCGTAACAGACTCCATCCACTCTGGCCGCTGCCTCTATGTCATTCTCTCTCTCCCGTGTCACTGCCACTCTGTGTCCTGAGCCACTTGTGCTCAGTGCTGCCATTCCCCTCTGACCTCTTTCCTCAGAATCTGATGTATTGCCCTTGGGAGGGGAAGGTAAGGGAAGATAGACTAAGGGAAAAAAAGGGCTAGGTATCATTTTTGATGCTTTATCTTCCCTAATTCCTTCCCCTTTGCTGTTTACATCCAGCCAGTCGACCTGTCCTCTGATTCTAATTCATAGATACTGCTCAGACCTGTCTGCCTCTCTCTGCAGCTCTGCTGCTGCCTCCATAATCCAGGCCACCACCATCTCTCACCGAGACCAGTGGAGCGGTCTTAACTGGTCTCCCACGGCCAGTTTGCTGCTCCACTAGTTCCATTTTCCATACAGGGTGAACGTCATAAAATCACATCTCCTCTTCTTACTGCTCTGCTAAAACTTTTCAACATCTTAAAATTTTTTTTTAAAGGATGATAATACTAGATAAACACTACAGAGTACTAGGTAGATGTTAAGAATTGGCAAGTGCTTTGAGTTTTAGGATAAAATTTAATGTTTAAAGCAGTTAGCACATTTTATGGAGTAAATTAGTTATGCTAGCTTATTTTACTATAATCCCTTATAGATTGTAAACTCCTGGAAAGCCAGGACTGTGTTTTGTTCATCTTTCTATCAGTTTGAAGCCAGGTCTTTGGTTGCAGGTTTGGACTTTTCCTACAGAGGTTGATATGGAGCCTCTTATCTCACGTCATGAGTGGAGGGCAGGAGGTTGATAACATTAAACGTTCTTCTTTACTTGGGATACAAGGCCACAAAGGTCCTGCTAATAATAGAATGGGGAATGCAGTATGAGATCATTGTTTGGGGATCCTAAAACAAAGTTATTCTAACATCATAATCTTAAGAAAAAAGATTCATTAAAGATTGAGGATATAGAAACTGAAAATACGCATCCTGAAGACAGTTTACACAGATTCCTAGAGGGATGGCAGTTGAATTTTTCCCAGCACGCCTTAGAGAGCTGAGCTTCTCTTTTGGTTCCTTTTCCGATAACAACCTCTCAGGAATGTGCTCTGGAGGTTAACGTACCCATTTAGTGATAAAGATCAGAATTCTTCACATGACTTTCAAGATGTTGGGTGATTTTTGCCTCTGCCTACCTTTTTTGTCACATCTCCTAACACTCATTCCCTCACTTACTGTGCTTCAATGACACACATATTCTGATATTTTCAAGAATTTCCAAGCACTTTTCGGCCTCAAGACTTTTCCCCTTGCTACTCCCTGTGCCCAGGATGCCTTCCTCCAGCTTTTCACATGGCCGATTCTTCATCTTTTAGTTCTCAGCTTAAATGTTACCTCTTTCATCAGGATGTTTCTTGCCCCTCGTGTCTCTTTGTGTTTTCTCTCATAGCAGTCAACACAGCTGTATTTATGCAACCTATGTATGCACATCATCATACATCCTGTTAGGAGGTCAGTTCTAGGAAGGTAGGGACCCTGTTGCCGTTTTTCCCTCCTGAGCACGTGTGGTAGGTGCCTGGTGGATATCCGTTGACTTGATGGATGCAAGAGCAAGGCTGGAGGATGGTGTCATCAGTGCTGAGTCACCACCTTGC